AGTCACATGTACATGCAAAACATTACACGGAACATAAAAGTTGTAAATTGCTTAATTCTTTTCATAAACTTTAAACATACAGATATGAATGAAAAAGAAGGAAAAATAGCCAGAATCATCACTGCATGGTCAAATCTTAAAAAATTAACATAACAAGTTGTTACCTTCAAAAATGTGTCCTATGAAAATAATAAAGAAACCCAATAATGCAACCCATCATTTGTTACAACTTCGAGTCTACACAACATTTCACTTTGGAATGCAAAAGTCTGGTCAATCGACCGATAATCAGAGGGTAAAATCCACACAAAAAATGCTCAGACAGTGACATCTGCTACAATGTACATTAATATCCCTAAGTATTCTTAGCAAGAAATTAAACCAACAAACTGACCAAGCTGTGGGATGTCTCCGAGAGAAGCTTTAAGCATGTATCATTTACCTCATGTCAGCCTGGTTAAAATTGACTGACCAGTTCATTAGCCTTGTAAAGATCAAGCACACACAATCTTATTTGATAATTAAAACCTTTCATACCTAACTGACAAATGGTGATTTGTGTTATAGTTTTCCTCAAGTTTTGGTACCTTTCAGCCCCATCATCAAACAATCTAAAATATATAAAAGAACATTATTTATTTCCTTACTAAGTAACCTATTCATGATAGTACTGTACTACATTCAAATACCTGCTAGAGACTATATTGGGGGTTGATTGCAAAACTGTTGTATGCCCTTCTTCATTTCATACAAGTTAATACAGTTTTGCAGTTAACCCATGATATGTGAAAAAAGACCACTATGTACAATCAAACTAAAGAACATCAATCTATTCAACTGCATCAAAAAAGTGTCAATAAAGGCGATTTGAGCCGCGTCACGACAAAACCAACATAATGGGTTTGCGACCTGCATGTATCCAGACCAGTCTGCACATCCCCGCAGTCTGATGAGGATCCATGCTGTTTGCTTACCAACCCTATGACAAGTAGAGAAACTGATAGCGAACAGCATGGATCCTGATCAGACTGCGTGGATGCGCAGGCTGGTCTGGATCCATGCTGGTCGAAAACCCATTACGTTGGTTTTGTCGAGACGCGGCTCATATACACGTACATAAATATCGTTCATTTGTAAACAGCAATGATATATTTCTATTTTATAAATTTACACATGAATTCAATTTAATCTTGTACATTTTTACGAGTAAATGGACTTGTCCATCTCTTATCTTGACAAAACCATATGTTAGTTTTAGGTAAAATTTCAAAACTGTCTGAGAAAGCAGTCACCTTGCATGACCCAATACACAAGTATAGATCCCAACATGGGCTTTTACATAAATTGGAAAACAACAAACAATTTACTTACTTTGACTTCAGCTGCTCATTTATCTTTAACCCAGTAAATTCTGTGTCAAGTGCTGAAATACAAACTTAAAATGATCTTACTGAACAAATAAAGAATAAAGTAATTGGGAAATATTTGCCATCTTACAGCAATATTCTTATCCAGAACAAAATATTTTTGAATCTAGCTTTGTCAAATCAAATGATCTTAGTCAATATACATGTATTTTGACTAATCTCAACTAAATATAAAAATACATTTAAACCTGTTTTTATTTTTTTCATTTGCGGCTAAATTTAAAATGTCACAACTTTAATCTGATCGTTTTGTTTGATTTTTAATTTTGTTTAGCTCTAGATCTAGTTTAACTCTGGACCTAAAAGATAAAAAAAATTACCAATGAAATCACAATGTTTGACATCTTCAACAATTGTTGGATATTGCTCTTTAAATGTAGACTTCAAAACTTCCACCATTTTTCCAAATCTTTCACCTACATTCAATTTTTGTTAAAATGTAACTGTGTTTACAGTTTTGACAGTTTCACGTGCTGCTTTTGTTTACCAACAACCGTTATCATCCTTGAGATTTACGACTTTGCAGAACAAAACAACCTACTCGATTGAAATATTTAAACTAAAAAAGATGAAATTTAAACATTTGAGAAATTCAAAATTGGTTTGAAAATAAACAATTGAAACACAAATATGAGCTTTTTCAGTATCATAATTTTTACGACATTAATTTTTAACCAATCAGATTACTCGTTACAAAAGTCGTAGTGACACATAAACAAATGGTGGGAAATGGGAAGATTTGCATGTTCTTGCTCGTTTGAAAGTTAAATTATCGAAGTATTTGACATGTCTTTTGGAAAATGACACCTGACATGTTTCATTTATTTATTGTTTTGCTCACATTCACACCAGTAATAACTCAAAGTAAGCGCACATACTCAGTAAATACTTTAAATACAATTATTCTGCCAATCTTCATAAAAATCATGATAATACAGTCAGTGTAGGCAATCGGACATCTTATGAAAAGCGTTATTTTTTGCAATATTTTTGCAGTGCTTTAGACTGAAACATTCATATGGCATAATCAAATAGTAACAGGTGTCATTTCTTTTCTAAACATCGCAGAATTGTCACAATGATTAATATGAAAAAGGCAAAGCCTCAAAGCGAGCTCGATTTTTATTTTACATTTTCTGTTTTAAAATTGTCATTTGATATTTTATACACTGCTTCAGTTTATTCTGGGCCCTCCTGCTTCAGTTTATTCTGGGCCCTCCTTTCTATTATGGTTCCTATATAAGTAGACTGGACACCAGTCTACGCTTCCGTTTTCAATCAGAGTACATCGGCTTTTATCGTTATCTTGTAATTCGAAAAGTTGCGATGTGTCAATTCGGTACTTTGGACGGAAGTCTTCAAAACTATCACTATCTAGCAGGTACTCGCGTTATAGTAAAGCATGTTTTGCTAGCAGGCCCTTTGGGCCAGCTCGGCAAGCTCACTATCAAAGTTTTCTTAAAATCTTGACATCTACTGATGAAGAAAAAATAGAAATCAACGTGAAAAAATTGAATTGATTATTTCAAAATATAAGACAAACATTAACCAGTAACTATAGAAAATGTCATTTGAAAATATTAAAGCCTTCATTGAAAAAAAATATTATCTAAACAACTTGTCATTCAAGTAGTTCTGGATCACCTAAAACTTATATTTCCTTACAAACAAGTACTGCTTTTAAAAATTTAATATCAACTGATTCTTTTGTCAATGGAAACATTATGAACTTATCATTTTGTTTTTATTGATGAATAAAAAAGAAATTAAATGATGTGATTCGGTTTGCCTATACACATACTGTATTCAGTAATTTATATCTTGTATTATGGTGTGACTCAAAGAACAGAAAGGTTTATGATTGATTATCTGAATATTATTTGTTTAAGTAGTTGTTGACGTTGTTTTTAAATGAAAATTGTTCTAAACACAGTCCGCAAAATAACTTCTTTAGATCATAGGCCATTTAATTGGGCCTGCAACCAAGGTGAAGTTCTATGCCCGGACTGACTTGAACTACAAGCCCAAAACATTTATATAACAGTTTTTGTATGTTCTATTATTAAATGTGGAAAAAATACTTGTAGATAACACAGATATATATACAATATCTATATTTAGCTCCATGTAGATAATAAGTGAAAGAGAAGGTCTCCAGCCATGTCCATGTGCTAACTTCTTGACATGTACACTAGCTGATCCAGTTTGTAGTTCACAAATGTAAACAATGACTCTAAACATAAAGGTACATGTATTGTTACGGAAATTTATGATGATCCTTATCTAACAAATATAAAATGCCTGTTGGTCTTAATATTTTTGAAATTTTGCTGATCTAAATTTGAATTTACAGATCTTGGGCATGTGGTGTGTGCCTTATTTAGGCAGGAATTGAACTTCAGAATAAAATACTTTCCTGCTCAAAATATAAATTTAGTGCCTTATCTGGGTCAATGTGGTAGTTTTATTTTTGCCAAAATATCTGTGGTAATGTCCAAAATGATAGCTCTGGCCTTTGAATTTAATTTGGAGTTTTACCATCTGTCTGACAGAGAAAGTACTTTACCAGAGGTTAGAAAGTCAAACTGTCGAAGTCCTGCCTTTCCCACAAAACTGTCGGGTAAGCTTAATATGTAGAGCATTGATCTGTGAATTTGCTGGCCTGAAGGTTTGATTCCTGGTGGTACATGTAATTCACACTGTACCACTGCTCTGGTGAAAGTGAAGGCAACTAGTACTGGTAATCTGCTTGACAGCCTGTAAAGGAATGATATGATGGCTGAACTGTGCACTGGTGAATTGATAATGATTTGGAGGGTAAACTATCAACACCTGGCTGGTAATGGGTCTATGGTTACAATTGGGCATGAAATGCTGTAGTAATACTAGTATCTAAAAATCCATGAGGTACATATTCTTAATTCTAGTTTATGATATAATACTTAGATTCATTGTGCGGTGGTACAAACAGTTAGGCATTTTAATGAAAAATGTGATGTTCTTGTTGTAAAGGAATAATGTTCATAATAAATATGTTTTACCAAGATACTCTTGGCATATTTTCAGTAGATCATTGCTGAAGAGACAATTAAACAAGTCATTTTGAGTAACAAGTTTTCCATTATTATTTGTATAAATTAATCAGTGGTGATTGTTATGATTTTCAGATACAGCTCAGACTGTCATAGCAAATGCTGCATTTGAAGATGTAGCACCTTGTCCTTGTGATCTAACAAAGGGATCCTGTGATATAAGATGCTGTTGTGATGGGGTAAGCTTGTGCTTATTTCAATAATTTTAAAATAACAAATCATTTATAAGCCAAATATTAAAGATTCATGAATTTTTCCTCTTAAACCTCTTGCAGGGTCTTATTTACTGGTGTCCTAAAAAAAAAAAAGTAGGGAAATTTCTCTTTAAGTCGTGCTGATTTTCACTTAAATTTAATAAACTTCCAAGTTTGTTTGTTTTTTTTTGTTTTTTCGTCATTTTTTGCAAAAAATAACTGAGTTATTTTCCATCACAATGAAGGGAAGGAGGACTCTCCCCTTATCTATGAAAAAATGAGTCTTTGTCCATACAAATTTTCTTATATTGAAGTGACAGGAAGTATAGACTCATTATTCGAGAATATCTCACTAAGTTTACCATTACAACATAAATTACCTTAAATGGATTTGCCCATCTGTCAATACAGATTAAGTCATTCATTTTAAATGAAAAATTCAAAAATAATATGACAGATTGGATAGCATACAGTGCAGACCATGATCAGACAACACTGATGTATTGACTTATCATGGTCTGCACTGGTCACATGGGTATCATATGTTGCTGTCGGCAAACTAAATGTTAATGTAATTGACTTGCTCTGCTCTTCAGCATCATAATGCTTTAATTAGAAAAAAATCAACAGTAGTAGATGTATGTTATACACCTATAGTTCAGGCTTTGCAGATTTTTAATTATTAATAGACTTGTGGTCCATATCATCGGTTGAAATGCTTTTAAAATAGGATGTATTTTCATCTTGTAGATTAAAATATCCCCCTTGGCCCTTCGCCAAATTGGTTGTTTTCATTGCCTCAGATAAAAATGTAAACCCTGCTTTATTCTAGTCATTTCATAACTTTTTGTTCTTTCATTTGTTCTTTAATTGAAGAATAAATAAACTTGAGTACAGGATATACTAGTACGTACTGCTCTGCTTTAATATCTGTGTAAAAAAAAAAAAAACTTTTTATTTTGTAGGACTGTAGTAGTGATGAGAAACAAACATTTGATAGCTGCATCCCGTTTTTACCTGGAGGGCAGAGTGCCGAGGACCAGCAGTATGAATGTTCATCCAAACACCATAATAAACCTGATTGGTTCCCGTTCTTATGTGTAGTGTTTGAGTATAATGCATTCCTTGGTTACTTCTATGATTGGCAGTACAAGCTTGCGGAGAATAGTCAAGCTCTCCTTAGTCGACTTTATACCAGAACCTTCTACTGGTACAGGTTTGTAACACTTTAACTTATAAATGCAATTATTCTGTTGTAAGTCTTTTGTCAAAAGTATATAAACATATTGAGGGCTAAACCCAATATTGTCGTGAACTAGGCCTGAATTATAAGTTATTTCTTTTTAGCTCACCTGAGCTTGCTCAGGGTGAGCTTTTAGGATCGGTGAATGTCCGTCGTCCGTCGTCCGTCGGGCCGTCCACAATTACTTGTGAACACTCTAGCGGTCGCATTTTTGCCTCAATCATCATCAAACTTGGTCAGGATGCTTATCTAGTTGAAAGCTCGGATGAGTTCGAACATGGGTCATCTCGGATGAAAAACTAGGTCACAAGAGCTAAAAATAGAAAAACCTTGTGAACACTCTAGAGGTCACATTTTTGACCCAATCATCATCAAACTTGGTCAGGATGTTTGTCTAGGTGATAGCTTGGATGAGTTCGAACATGGGTCATCTCGGATGAAAAAGTAGGTCACAGGAGCTATAAATAGAAAAACCTTGTGAACACTCTAGTGGTCACATTTTTGAACCAATCATCATCAAACTTGGTCAGAATGCTTGTCTAGTCAATTGCTTGGATGAGTTCGAACATGGGTCATCTCTGATGAAAAACTAGGTCACAGGAGCTAAAAATAGAAAAACCTTGTGAACACTCTAGTGGTCACATTTTTGACCCAATCATCATCAAACTTTGTCAGGATGCTTGTTTAGATAATAGCTCGGATGAGTTCGAATATGGGTCATCTCGGATGAAAAAACTAGGTCACCGGAGCTATAAATAGAAAAACCTTGTGAACACTCTAGTGGTCACATTTTTGCATCAATCATCATCAAACTTGGTCAGGATGCTTATCTAGTTGATAGCTTGGATGAGTTCAAACATGGTCATCTCGGATGAAAAAGTAGGTCACCAGAGCTAAAAATAGAAAAAACCTTGTTAACACTTTAGCGGTCACATTTTTGCATCAATCATCATCAAACTTGATCAAGATGCTTGTCTAGGTGATAGCTCGGATGAGTTCCAACATGGGTCATCTCGGATGAAAAACTAGGTCACAGGAGCTAAAAATAGAAAAACCTTGTTAACACTCTAGTGGTCACAATTTTGACTCAATTGTCATCAAACTTGGTCAGGAAACTTGTCTAGGTCATTGCTGGGAATAAATCGAACATGGGACATTTCGGATGAAAAACTAGGTCACAGGAGCTAAAAATAGAAAAAATCTTGTTAACACTCTAGTGGCTACTGTTGTGATCCAAATATTCTGTTAATTGGTCTGAAAGTTTGTTTTGATGATTTCTAAGTCAAGATCGAACATGGGTCATCTTGGATGAAAAACTAGGTCACACCGCCCAAATATGGAAAAACCTTGTTAACATTCTAGTGGTCACATTTTCGACTCAATTATCATCAAACTTGGTCAGGATGTTTGTCTAGGTAATTGCTTGGATGAGTTCGAAATCGCATGTGAAACTAGGTCACCGGAGCTAAAAATAGAAAAATCTTGTTAACACTCTAGTTGCTACTGTTTTGATCCAAGTATCCTGGAAATTGGTCTGAAAGTTTGTTTTGATGATTTCTAGGTCAAGTTTGAATATGTGTCACCTGGGTAAAAAACTAGGTCGCACTGCTCAAATATGGATAATCCTTGTTAACACTGTAGTGGTCACATTTTTGACTCACCTGTCATGAGACTTGGTCAGAATGCTTGTCTAGGTAATTGTTTGGATGAGTTTGATAATTCAGGTGAGCGATCTAGGGCCATCATGGCCCTCTTGTTTTATTTCCTACAATCTAAAGTTGAAACCAGAGTTTTGCAGGTTCAGTTTTTAGCTCACCTGAGCTTGCTCAGGGTGAGCTTTTAGGATCGGTGAATGTCCGTCCTCCGTCCGGCCGTCCACAATTGCTTGTGAACACTCTAGCGGTCGCATTTTTGCCTCAATCATCATCAAACTTGGTCTGGATGCTTATCTAGTTGAAAGCTCGGATGAGTTCGAACATGGGTCATCTCGGATGAAAAACTAGGTCACAAGAGCTAAAAATAGAAAAACCTTGTGAACACTCTAGAGGTCACATTTTTGACCCAATCATCATCAAACTTGGTCAGGATGTTTGTCTAGGTGATAGCTCGGATGAGTTCGAACATGGGTCATCTCGGATGAAAAAGTAGGTCACAGGAGCTATAAATAGAAAAACCTTGTGAACACTCTAGTGGTCACATTTTTGAACCAATCATCATCAAACTTGGTCAGAATGCTTGTCTAGTCAATTGCTTGGATGAGTTCGAACATGGGTCATCTTTGATGAAAAACTAGGTCACAGGAGCTAAAAATAGTAAGACCTTGTTTACACTGTAGTGGTCACAATTTTTTATTCGATCATTATCAAACTGGGTCAGGGTGCTTGTCTAGATAAATGCTCAGATGAGTTCAAACATGGGTCGTCTCGGCTGAAAAACTAGGTTACAGGAGCTAAAAATAGAAAAATCTTGTTAACACTCTAGTGGTCACATTTTTGCATCAATCATCATCAAACTTGGTCAGGATGCTTATCTAGTTGATAGCTTGGATGAGTTCGAACATGGGTCATCTCGGATGAAAAAGTAGGTCACCAGAGCTAAAAATAGAAAAACCTTGTTAACACTTTAGCGGTCACATTTTTGCATCAATCATCATCAAACTTGATCAAGATGCTTGTCTAGGTGATAGCTCGGATGAGTTCGAACATGGGTCATCTCTGATGAAAAACTAGGTCACAGGAGCTAAAAATAGAAAAACCTTGTGAACACTCTAGTGGTCACAATTTTGACTTAATTGTCATCAAACTTGGTCAGGAAACTTGTCTAGGTCATTGCTGGGAATAAATCGAACATGGGACATCTCGGATGAAAAACTAGGTCACAGGAGCTAAAAATAGAAAAATCTTGTTAACACTCTAGTGGCTACTGTTGTGATCCAAATATTCTGTTAATTGGTCTGAAAGTTTGTTTTGATGATTTCTTAGTCAAGATCGAACATGGGTCATCTTGGATGAAAAACTAGGTCACACCGCCCAAATATGGAAAAACCTTGTTAACATTCTAGTGGTCACATTTTCGACTCAATTATCATCAAACTTGGTCAGGATGCTTGTCTAGGTAATTGCTTGGATGAGTTCGAAATCGCATGTGAAACTAGGTCACCGGAGCTAAAAATAGAAAAATCTTGTTAACACTCTAGTTGCTACTGTTTTGATCCAAGTATCCTGGAAATTGGTCTGAAAGTTTGTTTTGATGATTTCTAGGTCAAGTTTGAATATGTGTCACCTGGGTAAAAAACTAGGTCGCACTGCTCAAATATGGATAATCCTTGTTAACACTGTAGTGGTCACATTTTTGACTCACCTGTCATAAGACTTGGTCAGAATGCTTGTCTAGGTAATTGTTTGGATGAGTTTGATAATTCAGGTGAGCGATCTAGGGCCATCATGGCCCTCTTGTTTATGTTGTTACCCTAGCCTGGGATTCAGTGGTTGATAGTTTTTCCTTATAAATAACATATTTTTGCTTATTCATAACATACACGCTATTTCGAATTTGTTTGTGATTTTGATCGTATAGTATCATTTGGAGAATAGAAGCACATAAAAAAATCGACAGACTGGAACCCAGGCTATTCTTACCCTTACTCTCCAGAACATGTTAATTTCACGCCTCGAGGAATGTTAAAGTTAACTGTAAAACAATTCTTGAAGACTTGTTCATAAAAAGTAACGAGTAATTGAAAGATTTATCTGAACAGTGGCTTTTTACATCTTACCTGGACAGTAATGTTTTTTACTTGCAGCAACCCTTGCTTTTTAAATTGGGAAATTTTACCATGGTTAAATTTTTATAAATAGGAAAAATAAACAGGAAAAAATATGAAAATGTTTTGTGAAAAAAATCAGCTTGTTTGCAGAAATCTTCAAAATTTTAAAGAGATTTTAAGATTGAATTTAGAATTTTCAGAGCTTTTTCTTTCAATTTGGAAAAAGCTGATAATTTGACCACTATGAATTGTGTACAGGTACTTGAATATAATTTCAGAGAACTCGAGCCAAGAACTCTGCCTGATTCACCTGAGGGTGCTTACAAGTATGGAGTGAATATGAAGACAACTAAAGGCCTACTGACGCTTCCTCAGCCAATTTTGAGTGGCCAATGTTTATATACAGCACCTGTGCAGTACCTGAAAGATATAGACACCTCCTGCACATTTCAGTTATCTAACCGATTGTGCAGCCAGTCTTCAGTTCTAAGCGTGCTTTCATACATAAATAAAATAAACAATATTAGTGTTCTGGCTGGCAGTTCAAGCATTGTACCAGCTACAACGACTGTGGTATACAAGTGTGCCACAGATGTAAGTTCCTATATAAAATCTTCACAGACAATAAATGATTTAGTGGATAATACTCAAGTATATAAATTTAATTACAACTTGCCCACTGGCGAACAGTGTGTTGACGACTGTGCCGTGTGTGACAATTTCAACGATTCACCAAATACTGATACCCCAATCAACAATTGTCCATCACAGACACCCACAACTAGCCTGGACGCGAACGGTGTTTGTTTAAATGCTGTTATCGACGTAGACTACACAATAAAATGGACGGGTAACACAACCGAACAGTTAGACGCAGTTATAACTCTGGGTAATATAGAAATACAGAATGCCGCAGGAATTAATAATGTCCTTACACAGAAATATAAAACAACTTTCATCCATAATGTGACGGCACCAGGTGATGGAGCCATTGATAATTTCAATAACATCACCGACGCTTCATACGAGCGATCAGGCAGAGTAGGCTACGATATTGGACGTACGATATTTACCGGCTACGAGATTTTGAACACAACTCTGACACCACCTCAATTCATGTATGTTAACACCAACACGTCGAGGCAAATGGCAGTGTTCGATACATGTAAGTGACTCTTTTACTGTATTTATGAGAATGTAAAGTTATGCAGCCTGAAAAAAAAATCAGGAAAGGATAGTATTAGTTTGTCTTCTTATTATTATACCCCCGCACAACAAAGTTGTAAGGGGGGTATACTGGAATCAGCTTGTCCGTCCTGTCGTCTGGTGTTCGTCGGTTTTTTTCTTGTCTGCCAAATAACTTAAGCATCTTTTGACCCACAGTCTTCATATTTGGCATGGAGGTTAGTTATGATTAGTAGATGACCCTGATGATTTTGAGGTCAAAGGTCAAGGTCACAGGGCCTTGACTTCAAAAAGCTTTTCCACCCAATAACTGATGAAACCTTTTACCCACAGTCTTCATTTTTGGCATGGAGGTTAGTCACAATTAGTAGATGACCCCTCTTGATTTTGAGGTCACCAGGTCAAAGGTGAAGGTCACAGGGGATGTGACTTCAAAAAGCTTGTCCACTCAATTGCTTAAGAAGGCTTTTCTTCATATTTGGTATTGAGGTTGTTTGTGACTAGTAGATGACCCCTTTTGATTTTTAGATGACTGTGTCAAAGGTCAAGGTCACAGGGATTTTACTATAATAAGCTTGTCTGCTCAAATGCTTAAGAATGCCTGTCCGCAGTGACATTTTCACATTTGAAGCATGTAGAATACATAATTCAGCAATGCACTGGCTTAGTAACCTCAGATTTTGCAGGGAGGTTGTCTTTGAGCTCTCAATGGTCACTGTTGATTCTGACAAAGTGTTATGTGGGGGTATTCAAGCCATTACAGTGGCAGTTCTAGTTTCTTTGGTTACAAGTCCTCCATGGCAAAGTCTTTAAGGTTGCTTACTTGGACTTGCATGCTCTTTTTAGCTCACCTGAGCATATGCTCAGGGTGAGCTATTAGGATCACTCTTCGTCCGTCGTACGTCATCCGTTGTCCGTTCACACTTTTCAAACGACATCTCCTCTGAAACCATAAGGCAGATCATAATGAAACTTCACAGGGATGTTCCTTGTGTGAAGCCTTAACAAAGTTGTTCAAAGAATTCCATTCCATGCAGAACTATGGTTGCCATGGCAACCAAAAGAAAAAACTTTAAACATCTTCTTCTAGATAACCCAAAGAGCTAGAGCTTAGATATTTGGCATGAAACATCTTCTAGTGAGTGTCTACCAAGATTGTTCAAATAAAAGCCCTGGGGTCAAAATTGGCCCCGCCCCAGGGGGTCATTGATTTTCCTTATATGCATATAGTAAAAACTTTAAAAAATCTTCTTCTAAAAAACCCAAAGAGCTAGAGCTTAGATATTTGGCATAAAACATGTTCTAATGGATGTCTACCAAGTTTGTTCAAATAAAAGCCCTGGGGTCAAAATTGGCCCCGCCCCAGGGGGTCATTGATTTTCCCTATATGCATATAGTAAAAACTTAAAAAAATCTTCTTTTAAAGAACCCAAAGAGCTAGACCTAAGATATTAAGCATGAAACATCTTCTAATAAGTGTCTACCAAGATTGTTCAAATAAAAGCCCTGGGGTCAAAATTGGCCCCGCCCCAGGGGGTCATTGATTTTCCTTATATGCATATAGTAAAAACTTTAAAAAATCTTCTTCTACAAAACCCAAAGAGCTAGAGCTTAGATATTTGGCATTAAACATGTTCTGATGGATGTCTACCAAGTGTGTTCAAATAAAAGCCCTGGGGTCAAAATTGGCCCCGCCCCAGGGGGTCATTGATTTTCCCTATATGCATTACAGTGTAACTTCTGAAAACCGAACACCCATGGGACTTGTCAAAAAGTTCGGATTTCAGAGGTTTCCGGAATTCAGAGGTTTATGATAATGTGGACAAGACTTGAATTTCTATCAGTTTGTAGAAAAATTGTTAATTGCATAAACTTACATACTGTCCGATGCTAGTTAATTAATGATTACATCAAATGCAATACAATCCCTAAAGACGTTTGATGCATACATTGTCCCAATTAATTGTCATTTAATCCGCTAATAAACACTTCAAATTAACTGACCGTCGTAAATTACTTTACTTAACCGCATCAAATCAAACATACTATTTCACAGTTTGTGATTTTAACGCGTGTCAAATTACACGATCACCGCTAATTAGTAAACAATCGATAGGGTGATTAAATCTTCCCGCAGGGTAAACATTCTCGATTTACAATGCATTTCACACCTTTGGATATTTCCGGTTTTGGGAGGTAAAATTGCATGGATTTGACTCTAATTTTAGGAAAATATCGTCCGGAATTCAGAATTTAGAAGTTCCGGTATTCAGAAGTATTATATTAATAGAAAATAGAAGGGGAAAAAACGGGACCGAAAAAATTGTTCGGTTTTTAGAAGTTTCCAGATTTCAGAAGTTCCGGAATTCGGAAGTTACACTGTAGTAAAAACTTTAAAAAATCTTCTATTAAAGAACCCAAAGAGCTAGACCTAAGATATTAAGCATGAAACATCTTCTAATAAGTGTCTACCAAGATTGTTCAAATAAAAGCCCTGGGGTCAAAATTGGCCCCGCCCCAGGGGGTCATTGATTTTCCCTATATGCATATAGTAAAAACTTTAAAAAATCTTCTTCTAAAAAACCCAAAGAGCTAGAGCTTAGATATTTGGTGTAAAACATGTTCTAATGGATGTCTACCAAGTTTGTTCAAATAAAAGCCCTTGGGTCAAAATTGGCCCCGCCCCAGGGTTCATTGATTTTCCCTATATGCATATAGTAAAAACTTAAAAAAATCTTCTCTTAAAGAACCCAAAGAGCTAGAGCTAAGATATTAAGCATGAAACATCTTCTTATCAGTGTCTACCAAGTTTGTTCAAATAAAAGCCCTGGGGTCAAAATTGGCCCCGCCCCAGGGGGTCATTGATTTTCCCTATATGCATATAGTAAAAACTTTAAAAAAAATTCTTTTAAAGAACCCAAAGAGCTAGAGCTAAGATATTTAGCATAAAACATGTTCTAATAAGTGTCTACCAAGATTGTTCAAATAAAAGCCCTGGGGTCAAAATTGGCCCCGCCCCAGGGGGTCATTGATTTTCCCTATATGCATATAGTAAAAACTTTAAAAAATCTTCTTCTAAAAAACCCAAAGAGCTAGAGCTTAGATATTTGGTGTAAAACATGTTCTAATGGATGTCTACCAAGTTTGTTCAAATAAAAGCCCTTGGGTCAAAATTGACCCCGCCCCAGGGTTCATTGATTTTCCCTATATGCATATAGTAAAAACTTAAAAAAATCTTCTCTTAAAGAACCCAAAGAGCTAGAGCTAAGATATTAAGCATGAAACATCTTCTTATCAGTGTCTACCAAGTGTGTTCAAATAAAAGCCCTGGGGTCAAAATTGGCCCCGCCCCAGGGGGTCATTGATTTTCCCTATATGCATATAGTAAAAACTTTAAAAAAAATTCTTTTAAAGAACCCAAAGAGCTAGAGCTAAGATATTTAGCATAAAACATGTTCTAATGGGTGTCTACAAAATTTGTTCAAATAAAAGCCCTGGGGTCAAAATTGGCCCCGTCCCAGGGGTCATTGATTTTCCCTTTATACATAGAGTAAAAAGTTAAAAATCTTCTATTAAAGAACCCAAAGAGCTAGAGCTGAGATATTTAGCATGAAACATGTTTTATGGATGTCTACCAAGTTTGTTCAAATAAAAGCCCTTGGGTTAAAATTGGCCCTGCCAGGGGGAGGGGGGGGGGGGGGTCAAAAGTCATTGTTATTCATAATTTGTGTATAGTAAAATCTTAACATCATGAAATATCTTCTAATGGGTGTCTTCCAAGTTTGTTCAAATAAAAGCTCTTTGGTTTAAACTGGCCCAGCCCTGAGGGCCTATGTTCAGGTGAGCGACCCCAGGGCCATCATGGCCCTCTGGTTATATGATGCCAGAGACTTTGATTTCTTTCAAGTGAGGAAACAATTCTGCTAGGTAACGGAAGATTTGTGATTGTAAACAAAATTAATGTCTGTTCAAGTTTGAGGTAACACAGAGAATGAAATATTAAAAACGATTTTTCTCCTGGCAGAAAATGAAAAGTCACCATATTATCTTTTAAAATGTTTGTGCATCTTAAAATCCAACAAAAAAATCCTTCCATTATAGTGGCTGTTTGAAATTGTACATTTATTCAATGACTATTAGGGGGCATCCGTGCCCAAGTGGTTATGGTCGTTGACTTCAAACCACCTGCCCCTCACCGCTGTGGGTTTGAATCCCTACAGGAACTTTGGATTCTTTCATGTGAGAAAGCTTTCCAGCAGGCTTACGGAACGTCGGTGGTTCTACTCAGGTGCCTGTTCGTGCCTCAAATAATGCACGGAGGGGCACCTGAGGTCTTCCTCCACCAGTAAAGCTGGAACGTCGCCATATGACCTATAATTTGTTAGTTTGATGTAAAACCCAATAAATGAAACAAATAAACAATGAGTGTTATCTCACTTGTAGATAATTAGGTTGTAGGTTATTGAATGAACCTTTCCAGGGCTTGAGATTAAATTGGTCAAGGTCTTTGAAGCTATAAAATTCATTTTTCTCATTTTTCTGTCCAGTTCTATGCTTTAAACATTTGGGAGACAAGCCTTAAAGTTTGGAAACATACCTAAAAGTCAATGTCTGAAAAAGGTATGAACAAGTCACACCTGTTCTGCTTTGGGAATGGATCTTTTTGACCAAAAATAATTTTACATGGAAAAAAAAGCTTATACTTTTTATCCCCCGCCGAAAATTTTCGGCGGAGGATATAGAAATAGTCTCCGTCCGTCCGTCCTTCTGTCCGAAATTTTTGTCCGGAGCATATCTCTAAAAGTATTTGAGTTATCAACTTGAAACTTCATAGGTGGATAGACCTCATTGAGGAGGAGTGCAGTGCACAAGAATGATAACTCTACCTTGCATGATTTTTGAGTTATTGCCCTTTGTTATTTTTCAAAATTGATTTTTGTCCGGAGCATAACTCAAAAAGCCTATGAGATATTAACATGAAACTTCATAGGTGCATAGATCTCACTCAGGAAGTGTGCTGTGCACAAGAATGATAACTCTTCTTTTCATAATTTTTGAGTTATTGCCCTTTGTTATTTTTCATACCTAATTTTTCACCTGAGTGGAGCATAACTCAAAAAGTGTTTGAGATATCAACATGAAATGTCATAGAAGGATAGATCTTATTGAGGAGGAATGTTGTGCGCAAGAATGATAACTCTTCCCTATACAATTTTTGAGTTATTGCCCTTTGTTGTTTTTTTCATGCTATTTTGTCCAGAGCTTATCTCAAAAAGTATTTGAGGTATCAACTTGAAACTTCATAGGTGGATGGATCTCATTGAGGAGGAGTGCAGTGCTAAAGAATGATAACTCTACCCTGCATTATTTTTGAGTTATTGCCCTTTGTTATTTTTCAAAATTAATTTTTGTCCAGAGCATAACTCAAAAAGCCTAAAAGTTGAGATATCAAAATGAAACTTCATAGGTGCATAGATCTCACTCAGGAGGTGTGCACTGCACAAGAATGATAACTGTACCTTTTATAATTTTTGAGTTATTGCCCTTTGTTATTTTTCATACTTAATTTTTCAATTCAATTTTTTTCTCAAAAAGTATTTGAGGTATCAACTTGAAACTTCATAGGTGGATTGATTTTACTGTGGAGGGATGCAGCACACAAGAATGATAACCTACCCTGCATTATTTTTCAGTTATTGCCCTTTGTTATTTTCAGCCATCAGTATTCACATAGGTTTCAAATCTGTAATCACTATAGCCATCAGTTTTCATTACCAAAACTTTCCAAAAGACCTTTTAAAATGGAATTATTCTGCTCTACTACATATACATTCTTCCAATGAGCAAACACATTCGGCGGGGGATGGCCATGTTGACATGGCTCTTGTTTTATAGATAACTTATTGTTGTTGCTGTATTGTTGCTGCTGTTGTTGTTTTAGCTGCGGATGGCTTGTGTAGGAACGCTGGAAGAAGGAGTATAAAGTTTCAAGAGGATATCACCACTCGGTGTAAATTGATGTTAAATCATGCAGAGTTTTCTGACTGCTCTGGTTTAAGGTATGATATTATTATTTGTTCTCTATTTAACCTTTAGAATTTATTTAATGAAGAGAATTTGAAGCTATCCATTATTGATTCAATTAAGAGAAAAGAGAATTCGATGGTAATATTCAAGTACTTATATTAACAGCCAACATTTTTTCATGTACATGTATAATTTGAAAACGTTATTATATATTTCATTATAATTCATATTTAAAATGATAAAGAGCAGATTTTCTTACTTTTATAGCTGTCCAGGATATTGAATTTGTTCACTGGATGAAGCTATCCAACTTACTTTCTGATAATTGGTATTAGCAGCAAACCAATTGTGCCTGTTTTACTACAGTACCGCAAACAATCAGTATGGCAGTAATCCTGGAATGTCACTATATGAATAATAAACTAAATATTTCTTAGAACCAAACTTATTTTTTCAAATGTTTTTCAGGAAGTTGATCATAAATAGACTAAACAACCTGATGCCATCAAATTTGATTGGTCGTCGAGGTTACAATGATAATACTAACAGAGGATACTGGCTTGAGGTTCTCAGGTAAGAGTCTATTCTTGTTCTCCTTTCTAATTATTTTTCCTCAACACATGGTTTTAAACAGTAGTATGAAGGCCATTATTAGTGGTTCATTTTAGTGTCCATACAACAGTTAAGAGGTCTATATGACAGTTTAGTGGCCCATATGACAATTCAGTGGTCCATATGAAAGTTTACTGAGTTTAGTGGTCCATACAACAGTTTAGAGGTCAATATGACAGTTCAGTGGTCAATATGACAGTTCAGTGGTCAATATGACAGTTTAGTGATCAATATGACAGTTCATATTGTTTTATATTATGAATAAACATTAACACAAAATTTAAAAAAAAAACAAACAAACTGATTCTATAATTCTGGTTAAAAGAAAATGCCAAGTCACAAAATTGTTACTTCAGCAGTTTGTTAGCTATTTTGGGTCAACCCAGGTTTATACAAGTAGTTGCTTAATATATGAATAAATTCTAAACAGTATATCAGCAATTCATAGTTTTTATTTTTCTTTCTTAAATGTTTTTGGAGATTTTAATCATGTTGAAAACAATGATTTTTGGCTCAATTTAACAGGGATGACTTGAAATCCAGTTGTGATCTTAGCGAGTATTTCCCATTAGGTATGAGCCCAGTTGACAACCGCACAGGAATTTGTTACAACATTACCGATGGAATACATCTGCAGATTTTTTATGGAGTAACTGGAAAATCTAATGGATTTCCCATCTACGAAATTCTTGGAAGTAAAGTCAGGTAAGAAAGCACTGTAGTTCATGAAGCTTCTAGAATCAATTTACAGCCACCATTATGACTATACAGTATAGGTTGATAATTTTTATTGAATTATGGAGGGTCCTCCATGGCTGAGTGATTTTGGGTCATTTACTTGCGTCATCACTGTAGTTTTGAGCCCCTAAGCATCTTGGCATACTTTATGTGAGAAAGCTATCCGCGAGCTTACAGAACTTCAGTGGTGCTTGTTTGTGTTGAAATAAAGGACAGAAGGACATTTGAGGTCTTCCTCCACCAGTAAACCATGTGACCTGTACTGTGTTGGTGTGATGTAAAACCCAATCACGAAAAAAAATATAGTATATGTAATTGAAGTATTTCAAGAGATTTATTGGCATATTTAAAAGAGAATCAGGAAACAGGTGTTTTTTACTCAGAAGTTGATTCTGGAAGGTTGTTTGTTCTACTACAATGCCTGCTTTTGCCTGAAATACTGCATAGAGGGGCACTTTGTGGCCTCTCAAAACCCGTAAAAGCTGGAAAGTTGCCATATAACAAATTTTCAAATATTTACTTAACACTAAGGGGAAACAACTATGCAGAGGTGGCTTATTGTTTTAGGTTAATGCTGGTAGTGGCCATAAACAAGCCTTCACATTCATGCAGTCTGACCAGGCTCTATACTGTTGGTAGCTGAGCATAGTGATACTGAAATCCCAACACTGCTTACGGACCATTCCATGTTCAAATCTGGGCAAGTTCATTATACAGTCCCAGTGATTGTACATACTTTATTCAAAGCTGACCCAAAATGTTTAAACATGTATTATTCAGCTTGATACATGTATGTTATATTATATAGCATATTATATGTTATATTATAAATGTATACTGTTATTAAACTGTTAAATCATTTACAGTTATTCCAATTCAACCTGGCAAGTACAATGTAGCGGGCCTGCTGGTGGCGTGTGCCGAGAAACAAACTCACAACCATTTTATGTGACCAATTCTGTGAGGTTTATAGAAATTCCACCAGTGACCCCTGAACCTGTCTCAAAGTAAGTGTAATTTACATAAAATCCACTGTTAATAGATATTAAAGTTTGAAAAATCAACAACAAAAAACAGAAAAACAATATTGTCACATACCTATTGCAAATCTGTGAAAATGGTATGGCACAGCTGTGCATATATTTTGATGTGGTGTCCTTTGCATTATACAAACAAAGTGTAAAGACGCGATCACATAATTATAATATTGATGATTCTAATTTGTCTTCTTTAACATCTGAATTTCTTCTCTTATTATGAAAAATTATTTATTTTGACTTCACAGATACTATGAAGTGCCTAGAGAAGAAGACAAGCAGTTATGTCCGGGGGATCGTTGCTGGGACAATTTATTCTACCCATTTACACGGCGATACAGTGCCGACAATCGAGAATACGTGTTCGGAATGGTCTCTTTGTCTATCATATTCTTTATAGGATATTTCCTTGTTGCTAGACCATTCTGGTGAAAACATTTATCTAGTATTATAATGTAAAAAGCTGCAGAAGGGCGAGGAAAAGTTTTAATTAGTGCTTAAATGTGCAAAATAGTTTTGAAGATTGATATATACAGACAGTTAGTAAGCCATGGATACTACAATATATACAGAAAGAAATTTTGTAGGCATTGGATACTACCCCTTGTATACTAGTGGTACTCTTATAATGTACGTGTATTTCAAATTGGAAGCCTCTAAAGGTGTTACAGGCATTGTATACATCAAAGTGCTGCAGCACTGAATGCGACGGACATGCAACCGGAGAGACATTAATTAAGGCTTCTTTTAGAAAAACAAAAACAAAAACAAAACACAAAATATATAACAAATATATAACAGAGAAAATTTGTTCCATACAAGTTCGAGATTTGTAAAGCAATATATTTGGTGTCCCAAATTGATATAATTCAGATTTTCTACTTTCAAGCACTTAAATACAGAATGAAATTTATGCCTAAAAACTCTGGTCAAACTTGTAAATCAGTGTCCTTATCGATTTATTCTAAGAAATGATATGTAAATAGAAAAAAAACTATCAACGAAATATTTCTAGAATAAATCCAGGCAAATAAAGTTCAAACATAAAACATTATACATTTGAGAATGCTATTTAGAATTGCTTCGTGTTATATCATAGTGGGCATACAGACAATAAAATATAAGTCATTTGTATTTTTATTTCTCTTGGATATGTCTCATTAAAAAAATGGTTAAAATCATCAGCAATTAATAGTGTATTTCTTAGATTTTTTTTATTTACAAGGTAAAGATGTAGAGGCCAGAGCACATCGTTTTTATTTTAATTTAAATGTCACTTAAGCACTACAGTGTTTAGTTGTCCTTTTCAACTTCACACTAAATTCCATTTTCAACTTGTTTGCTTCTTACAATTGTATAGCATTTCTAAAAGTATTGCATTGCAATCCGCTGGTTTATTAATTACATGTTTAATGTGTACTTCCTAATCGCCTGTCCAAAAATCAGAACAAGTGAAGCAGAATCTATTTTTAGAATAGCGAAGGTTAACTCATATCATGACCTAGTAAAATATGTAAACAAGCCACAAGAATAGGAAGTAGAACTGATATTATAACTTAATTCCTTACCATGAAAGACTACATGGCGGTAAAGTGTCTTACATGCATTTTCAAAAATAGATATTTATACTAGCCATTGTACTGTATCATATATATTAATAACTGCTGAATATTCAGCTAAACCCGCGGTATGAGTCACGAAAATAGTTCTTCTTTTATTAATGCGCGAGTTATCCTAGAGTCACGAAAAACTTTTGATTTGTTAATAATAATGTTTTGTATAATGTAGAAATATTTATTTCCTACTAATAATGTCTTGGAACTCAGAGGATACACCTTTATTGAAGTATAATTTGCTGTCCTACTTTTTCGATAGCGGTAAATCGTTTTAGCAGTAATTTGCATATTGCACAATAATACTACGGGACTACAACGTTTTTATCAATAATATACGTTCATATTTTAACTTGGATAACTTAATTTGAAATTGAAAAGGCTAAATATGGAAGACATTAAGATATCCAGACAAAGTATGGGAGTTTTGAAGGATCAAATTCATGTACTATTTCTTGGGCTGTTAATTGGTTTAGGACACATTGCGCGAGTGTAGCCAACGAAATCCCATGTGTAGATGACTTAGCTCTGAACGCGCCTGAGGGCGCGTCCGTCGCAAAAATAAGAAAGGTTGTAAACAATTGTATAGGCAAGTATGAGTATAAACAATTTATTTTGGATTCACTTTTTTATGAACAAGAATGGTTTGTAACTTGTATCCTACATGTGTTTTAGGTTTCTTTGGACAAGAAGTTTTATGTACCTTTTTTATGAAGTAATGTATAGTGATACATGTAAGTAAGGATTGTATAGAATAGGCAGTAATGTAACGAATGTTTAAAGAATAACCGTTATACCTCTGTCTGAAACCCGGCTGTTAGAAATTACTGACAGGCGACTTTATTCACAGGTTAAATTGTATTCTAAATCCTGATATTGGACTTCATATACTCCACAACAGCCGGTTTCTATCCAGATGGCATTTAAAACAGGGGCGGCAAAATCAATTGTCCATATTGCCCAGCTTGCTCGGATTTTGCCCGCCCTTTAAAACAGGTTGATTTGTAGATTTTATGTAATTTAAATATGAAAGTCACCATGTGTACACTAGATGACAAAAAAAATGTTAGATGTACATGAGTCTGTGAAATTATTTATGGATACATGTATTTCTTTACGCATATTTACTGTATACATTAACATTGCCTATGATATTGTTAATGTCTGGATGCTGTGATATTTGTAGTAATAGTTAGTTAGTTTAATCATGATTTTATAATTAATATGTAATATTATTTATTTATTGTATAACTTAAACAAAGAAATAGATTTTTTTTAAATATGTATCCAAGTGTTGTTATAGATATTACCATGGTAATAGTCATAATTTTCTCTGACAAAAACTCTTTATACTTTTATACAGTCATGGAATATCCAATATATCTTTGTTAGTTCAAAGTTGTTTTTTTTATAGGTCTGAATCAATAACCGCTGTGCAAAATTTCAGGTCATTGCTAACTGTACTGTATTGTATTTTTTGTTCAAAATTTAAGAACAATGTATCTCTATTTATTTAGGTTAAAAGGCAGATACCTTAACAACTCGGTCATAAGATTATAAAGTTTTTTTTTCTAGACTCAAACTGTTTACTCAGATATTGAAATCCTTTAAAACTGCAAATCGACTGTTGTTCCAAATCAAAGCAAAGCAATTTCAGTATATATTTCTGGTAAGGGTTGTAAAAAATCTGTATTGTTTTATATATAAAGGCCCATTATGCCTCGGAAATTATACCAATTCTATTTCTCAAAAACTTTTACTTTTTGGTATCTTGTTACAGTTTTCAAACTAATACTTATTTGATATATGCATGAACTATCTTGCAACTTAAGCTCTGTTAGCAATTGGTATAATTATAGTGAATTAGTATTTTGTATGGAAGTCAACATACTACTTTATTTACAATTTGCTACCTTTATGACACATTATTATATACAGAACATCCAGTGCTACTTTTTTTAGTTGTGCCCTAAATCTATTATTCAAACACTATTAAACACGCATTTGACATTTTTTAAGAATGGGAGAGAAAAAATTGATTTCTGAGGCATAACATGCTTTTAAGTCTTGACAATAGCATTGAGAAGAAAAGGCCAATTTTCTTGCTTCATATAGGAAAACATGAAGTTGAAATCACACTTCTGAAATCATGTTAATCTAAATTTCTAAGTGATTTTGGCAGCCACTATTTATTACCCTAAGCATTTTCAAAGTGCTAGTTTGTTAAATACATTATCTAATATTCCAAACTTCTTACTGAAAACAAAATTGCAGATAAATGAAAGTTATTTTCATGTATAAAAACATCCAACTGTTTCCTTTCATTACGGACATCTGAAGAGAACTTTGGACATTAACAGACATTGTGTGAAATGTACAACTGGGTCATCGAAGGGGCCTCTGTGGCCGAGTGTTTATGGTCGTTGACTTCAAACCACTTGCCCCTCACCCCAGTGTGGGTTTGAATCCTGACAGGGACTTTGGATTCTTTCATGTAAGGAAGTTTTCCATATAGCTAACAGAACATCAGTGATTCTACTTGGGTGCCCTTCATGCCTGAAATAATGCACAGAAAGGCACCTAAATTCTTCCTCCACAAGTAAAACTGGAACATCGCCATATGACCTATAATGTGTTGGTATGACGTAAAACCCAAACAAACGACTGGGTCAATATGAGGACACCTGAGAATATTGTCATTATAGTCAGATCACTGAATACTGATGGTGCATCAGTTTTAGTATTTAAATCTGAAATCTCTCTAATATTATCCAGTATTATCAACATCATTCCAGATCTTTCATCAGCCTGGTGTCAATAAAGTATGACAGGGTTGGGTATAACTTCTATGTGACTACAGCTAACACAGTACTGCACTTAGGTAAAATAATCAAGCCAACTTAGTATTTTAATCAATGCACCATCAGATGTCCAAATACACAAATCTGCCTGTGACAATCCCCCACCCCCAACTCATCTCAAGATGTACAAAAACTATAAATAGAAAACTGAACACTGAGTCAATGTCATGAATATTTAATTATTGCTTGACTTTAGAAGCACCAGCGTATGTGTGAAGACAAAAACAGTATATGTAAAATGTTATTACATAACACATAAAAATGTACAACAACTCTTACACAGATCTGAACACACCAAATTACACAGACAACAATACATGACGGCTACATTATTTACAAACAGCTAAGATTGGTAAAAATTTTGTACTCCCTTGTAAACATCTAAATAATTTATCAGATCCATATAGCTTAACTTCTTAAAGGAGCTCCAATGAGGTCCAAAAGCATAAAAACATAGATCAGCTCGGGCACTGAAAACAAAAAAATATTCAAAAACAAGTAACAAATATTATCAGAAATCGATTGGAAATCTTATTTTTGTGCCATTCATAGCCCAATTTAAGTGAAAATCGTTGCAATGCTTTTCAATTTTAGGGCATCTATTCGCAATAAGAATAATTATTAAGGCAAAATGGAGTGAGTGAATAATCTGAAAATTTTCACACAAGTTATTGGTCTAAACCTTCAACAAATGGAACATTAATTTAGAAAAAATAAATTCTAGTTGTGTCATGTCAAAAAACCTCAGTGGAGTCCCTTTAATCCAGGCAGAAACTTAACATCACTTGATACCTGGTTACTAAAGTTACAGTTGTGATTCTTCCTTTATAATATTCTCAGAATGTATATTTCTTTATTTATAACAGTTGCTGTTTTAACCCTTGCCATGCCGAATATTGAAGATAAATAGACTTGTCCATCTTTCAGTCTGGACAAAACCGTTTATCATTTTGACACAAAATTTCCAAATCAGTATACAGAATGAATAGCAAACAGTGCAGACCATAACCAAATGGTACGAGTGCACCAGCTGACCTTGGTCTGCACTGGTCAGCACGGGTAGAAGCAGTTACTGCTAACAGTTAGTATTGTATATTTTTATGTTCCTCTAATAAAATAAAAATTTCTATGAAAATTGCCACATAAATAAATTATTCCTGTAATTATTTAAAACAAGAATAACAAAAGATGACTTTGTAAAAACAAAATGCCCCTGTCAAAAATATGTTTAGTATCAAATGTTAAAGTGAGGTTATGGTGAAAATTGAATTTTGAAGAAAAAACCTGATCTTGACAGCCAAGGACAATAAGGGGTCAAGGTCATATTATGTTAAAACTAGAACTATCACTAAATGTGATTAATACCCCCACAAGTCTGCTTCGGAAATGAGGATGTTACTAGTAACAGAATACCTTGTAATAGAATTGAAACATAGAGTTATGGTTGTGGGCAATTAAAGATAATTGTGGTTCATGTATGTTCATGTATGTTGCATTTCCTTTCAATGTGGTTGGCCATTGATGAAGTTTAATTGAATTACTCTGTAATAAGTCCAGAAAGACAAAGAAAAAGAACAAAGGGCAATAACTCTATAAATACTGAAGATAGAGTTATAGTTCTTGTGCACTGCACTTCCTCTTATTGTGCTTGACCATTGTATGAAGTTGTTTTGAATTCCAACCAGTACGTTTTAAGTTATGCTCCGGACAAGGAAAAGTATCAAAGGGCAGTAACTCTGTATTTTGTCAAAATGGAGTTATGGCTCTTGTGCACTGCACTTCCTTTTAATGTCCTTGACAACTGTATGAAGTTGTACTGAATTCCAACCAGTAGTTTTCAAGTCATGCTCTGGACAAGGAAAAGTAACAAAGGGCAGTAACTATGTAATTAGTCAAGATGGAGTTATGGTTCTTATGCACTGCACTTCCTCTCAATGTGCTTGACCATTGTATGAAGTTATAATGAATTCCAACAATAAGTCTTCAAGTTATGGTCCGGACAAAAGAAAGCAATGGCAAAGTAACAAAGGGCAATAACTCTGTAATTAGTCAAGATGGAGTTATGGTTCTTGTGCACTGCACTTCCCCTTATTGTGCTTGGCCATTGTATGAAGTTGTTTTGAATTCCAACCAGTAGTTTTAAAGTCATACTCTGGACAAGGAAAAGAAACAAAGGGCAGTAACTCTGTAATAAGTCAAAATGGAGTTATGGTTCTTGTGCACTGCACTTCCTCTCAATGTGCTGGGACATTGTATGAATTTATAATGAATTGCAACAATTAGTCTTCAAGTTATGGTCCGGACAAAAGAAAGCAATGGAAAAGTAATAAGGGCAAGTTATGGTCCGGACAAAAAAAAGAAGGCAATGGAAAAGCAACAAAGGGCAATAACTCTGTAATTACTTTAGATAGAGTTATGGTTTTTGTGCACTGCACTTCCCCTTATTGTGTTTGACAATTGTATGAAGTTGTTTTGAATTCCAACCAGTAGTTTTCAAGTTATGCCACGGACAAGGAAAAGTAACAAAGGGCAATAACTCTGTAATTAGTCAAGATAGAGTTATGTTTCTTACGCACTGCACTTCCTCTCAATGTGCTTGACCATTGTATGTAGTTATATTGAATTCCAACCATTAGTCTTCAAGTTATGCTCCGGACAAGGAAAATGCAACGGACAAAAAAAAAGCAAATGGAAAAGCAACAAAGGGCAATAACTCTGTAATTACTTTAGATAGAGTTATGGTTCTTGTGCACTGCACTTCCCCTTATTGTGTTTGACAATTGTATGAAGTTGTTTTGAATTCCAACCAGTAGTTTTCAAGTTATGCCCCGGACAAGGAAAAGTAACAAAGGGCAATAACTCTGTAATTAGTCAAGATATAGTTATGGTTCTTATGCACTGCACTTCCTCTCAATGTGCTTGACCAATGTATGTAGTTATATTGAATTCCAACCATTAGTTTTCAAGTTATGCTCCGGACAAGGAAAATGCAACGGACGTCTGGACCGACCGACCGACCACCGGGTGACTCCTATATACCCCCCCCAAACTTCGTTTTTGGGGGTATAATGAAGGTATCATGCAGGTGGGTTTGTTTTCTTATTATTTTAACAATGATATACCATTACTTTGTACAACAGAAATGTGATAGCAATGGTTAGAGTTTCCAACTATCCACAGATAGGCAGCATAAAAACAAACATTAGGACAGCTTTTTATTACTGACACAACTATAAGGACAGCATTATATGGCTGGTACAAATACTAGGACAGCTTTATACATGGGTGCAAGTTTTCAGGCACATGCCTGAAGCTCAGGTATTTGTGACAAATTTCATGATGTTTTACTATTAGATTAGGAAAATGATTATGAATAACATTTTCAGGTTTTTCCAAATTTTCAACTTGCATGCATGTTTATATGACTGACGCATAAGGACAGCATTATTTGGCTGACACATGTATAAGGACAGCTTTATATGGCTGGCACATGTATAAGGACAGCTTTATATGGCTGGCACATGTATAAGGACAGCTTTATATGGCTGGCACATGTATAAGGACAGCTTTATATGGCTGGCACATGTATAAGGACAGCTTTATATGGCTGGCACATGTATAAGGACAGCTTTATATGGCTGGCACAAATATTAGGACAGTTAAATATTATTGTATGACTGGCACGTGTATAAGAACACTTTTATATGGCTGACACATACATGTATAAGGACAGCTTTATATGGCTGGCTTAACTATCAAAACATAGTATTAAAACTGGTACAATTATAGGACAATTTTACATAACTGACAAAAATATAGCCTGTCTCATGTTTAGCCGAGTCACATAAAATCTGTCTTACATTAAAGGGAGACTTAGGCAAAATTTTGATTTTTTAGTTTTGAATTTTTCATTCATTATTCTGTAAATGCCCTCAAAATAAATATATTAGACAGTCAAAGAAACAAAAAATTTTTCAATATAAAGAATAAAATGGTTGTTTCCTAACTTGACCCGCGTGGGTCAGGTTAGAGCGCTAGGATTTCACAATAATTGTCAAAGGGAACTCTGGAAACGTTAAAGAACATGTCAAATGATTGACTTAGATTTGTTTCAACCATTCAATATCCACACTATCTATTATTGTAACTTCAAGGGTTGGTTCAAGTAATCTGACTTGTTTTAAAACTATTTGGTGATTCTATTGGCGTCTAAATTTTGTTCAACATATATAGATATATTTACGCTTCAAACCCAAAATATATAGAATTTTAACAGAAATTCATGCTGAAACTTCCAGAAAAGTCATTTTAGTGTGATTTGAGTACATAAGATCATTTTAATATTTTTGTCATTATTTTGCCTGAATATCCCTTTAACAGGTTTCACAAATGTTTTTCTTTTCCCTTAAACTTGGTTATATATGTAAAAAGCATTCTAAAAACAGTTAAACACAGATAAATTCAGATCAACATAGCGTAAAAAGCACATGATTAAAAGAAAATCACAATAAATACTGTTCAAAAACATAAACATACAAAAAGCAATTATAATTTTATTATCAACAATATTTCACAATGTGCTGTGTTCCCAATAAAAGCAATAATCATTCTGGGAAATACAGTAAAAGCTGTCAGATAAACAGCATGCTCAACCTTTTTTCCAGCGCTAGATGGTAAAACAAGTGCTACATAAAAATTTAAGTCTATAAAGGGGAATAATCCAATGAAAAAATGCTAGAGTTACAGGTCCTGTTTAATGATCTACAAAGGCTGTGACTAAAAAAAGGATTGGAGCACCACACTAAATACCGTATTCCGGTATATACCGGACAAGGCGCTTGAATGATAAAATGCTAAAATCTTGTCTTTTTACCCAACGGAATGAACTTTAACAGGTCTAATTCATCTTTTCACACCGAATCAAGTACGATAATCAAGGAAAAATGTAAAATTCGGCGAAAAAAACGATATTTGTCTATTTTGTGATCATGATTTCTGCAAGCGTCTAGAGGTACTGCTCCAATCCTGTATTGAGCTAAATCCATCTACAAATATGACCCTGAAGTAGTGTGTGCAGTTGAAATGAAATAAAAACTGGTGACAAAACCTTAACCAGGACTTTTTATTATGTACACAAAGGGGAATAAAAATGATTAAATTGATGCAAGAGTTATGTGTCTTGGACTGAGACCTCTAAACATGTGAAGTTTGTTTAAAAAAAGAGTACAGACATTCAATGGTATTGAAGAAAAAACGTTAATGCAAAATATGAACACAGTTTTACATCATTACAGCTGTTGAAACATGAGATTTCAAACAGTCTATGAGAAGCTGAATTTAAAATTTATTTGAAATTTTTGTTTTTAATTTTTCTCTCTTTAATCTATACAATCAAATGAGCCATGTCATGACAAAACCAACATAGTGGGTTTGCGACCAGCATGGATCTAGACCAGCCTCCGCGCAGTCTGATCAGAATCCATGCTGTTCGCTATCAGTTTCTCTACTTGTAATAGGGTTGGTAAGCGAACAGCATGGATCCTGATCAGACTGTGCGGATGCGCAGGCTAGTCTGGATCCATGCTGTTCACAAGCCCATTATGTTGGTTTTGTCATGACGCGGCTCAAATGACTTAAAACATAACAAGGTGGTAAACCGACAACTCATCATAAGCCTTTCTACTTCTACTTGTTTTATCAACAGTAAGATTTAAAGATGATGACATGTGAACAAAAATACTGTAAAATTAGGTAATGATTGCGTAGTTCCAATAACCAACAATAATCTATGGCAAAATTAGTGAGTCTTAAAAACCATCAATATAAAAAAATTTAATGCAAACACTTATACAACTTTTAAACAAGTTTCATAGTTTTTTCATTCTCCAAACTGAATAAAACTTACTAAATCACTCAACTCTTGTCTTAAAATAAGCAACCAAATAAGGCTTTGAATTAATATGATTAAACATCACTCAAAATCTGGACCACAAAATTCAGCACATGAAGCTTTTATTTTAATCAAATGTCTGTATATCTTATTTTGGAAGCATAAACTAGTTTTATGAACATAAAGATTGTGACATAATGAAATTTTATTAAAAATTTGTGCAAAAAACTATTCACTTCTTTTCCATGCATAATATTCAGACATAGCAGTGGGTCAGGATTAAATTTTGAAATAAAAACTGACTGCAAAAAAAATCAACACAAACTGGTTGATATAACTACATGTATATCAGGAAACAAATGAACAAGATTGGTGGTTATATGACTATAATTTGCATAATTTATCATTAATTATGCATAAAAAAAAGGACCACTTATATATACTCTCCAAACGTCTGTGCTGACAAAGACTTCCCCGATGCCATCTGTATCGAGCAAGACTCGCCTTTAGTCTGACCAGACTGCATACTGTAGACTGCCAAAGTTTAGAAATTTGATATTAAAACTCTACTCTCTAAACAAATGGACAACTTCAAGATGAAAACTTAACACGTCCATTAATAAAAAAAAATCCATCCACCAAAAATAATGCAAAATGAGTTTGTTGACAGTTGATTTTACAACACAAGTCTGACGTCAATACACATATCAGAAAACTGTAAAATGTTGCACTGGGTCATCCTTCGTAACTCATTCTGGTACAAAATAACAACAGTTTTTGATCCTTTTATATCTTTTTTGACATAGTATATTCACTATTTAGCTTTGATTGTTTAATTACTATTACTCCTGCATGGTCTAGCAGGTAATGTCCCTTGTAAATAGTCCTTGACAAAAGAACAAACATGTTCCGTTGTTATATTTTTCTCCTCACTAACATAGACCTTTTGTTCCGGAAAGTCAAGGATGGTCAAAAGCGGTGTCCGTTCAGAAAGGCTAGCAAAAACACGCACAGATTCACAAATATCATCCTGAAAGGATAAAGAAAGGAAAAGAATAGTCCTTTAAAAAACCCTTTGAATGCAAGAAGCTATGACTTCAATTCTACCAATATATGTACAGTAAACTGTTTATAACTATATTCAGGCAAATTTATATCGTTTTATCATAACTGCATCTGGGAATCAATCTCATTTGCCAAGAGATCTTTATTCATCAGTTTCTTTATCACCTGTGGTTGTGGAATTCAAAATTAATAGGTCACCTTTTGTCATATAAATACCTTTAAGGACATGAATGGTGACACTTCCGGTGTCTGTACTTTCAGTGCCTGAAAGGGCCGATGGACCCTCATTAAGCATAGAATACACTGTGGATGTGCTTTCAAATACCACCTGTAGGGGTTAATTTGTTTGTTATTTTTTATTCATTTAAATCTTTAAGCTATAATGTACTTACATCTGCTCCAATAAAAAAGACAAGATCACGATGCTCTCCCTTGTTGTGCTCTTCAGTTGCTGGCTGGAGGAGTAAATCTCGTGCCCTGTCAACTTCCTCATCTTCTGGCTCTGTTTACAAAAATATATACACTGTATATATATTTTTTTCCGATTATTTGATATCATTTGTTAAAATCTGTCCTCTAAAAAGTTTCTTCAAACCCTTGGTGAAATTTTCAAATGTTTGATTCTATCATATGTTGTTAATGATAAAATAAACATAACAAACAAATCTAAGATTACATAACAAGTATCTGTTACCTGGCAGTCAGATTAATTTTCATTATCTTAGCTTTTTTGGACAGTAAACAACTTCTTTGTACAGTACTGACTATAGTGGTATAGATTTTGTTCACATAGCATATATTACCTCCCCTGACAGCCAGTGATTCCCGTTCATATCTTAATTAAGTTTAAGACAATTAAATATCTCTTGCTATTCAATTATCTCCATGTTACGATGCTAAAAAATCTTTAAGATATTGGTGCTATAATAGTTTTCTACATATAAATATAAAAGAATTAGAAAATACACAAAAATCAACGTTTTAAAATGGTATTTGTTTTTTACTTTTTCATTTTTGTCAATATTTCTAACCCCTTTTATGGCTGCCACTTTTGTAAAGGGTGGTAAATATTTTACTTATCTTTAAAAACATGTCTCAATAGGCTAATTGGATCTTATTTTTTGGGGTATTCTATATAGCAAATAACACCAGAATCTTAAAATGTCATAAGCTAAGTAAAAATCTTACCAACAAATAAAACAAGACATGCAGACTCATTCAACTGTATAGCCCCACCTTCTGTCAACTCATTTATTGGTTTAGGATACCATGGGAACTCCTGGAAATATAAAATTAGTAAAAAATTACAGACATGTTAGGAATACATTCTACACCTTTTCATTAAATTCTATCTTATGCTATTCATGCTAGAATTTTATCATGTCTTGCATGTACTATGGAACACCATTTTAGCTAAAAGTTCATATATACAAAGTGTCAGCTTTAACAGCTGATAAACTGTCCACATGTTCAACTGTTACAATGTGTTGTTTTCATTGTGACATTAATAAACTGCAGCACCTGGGAAGAGCAAATTTAAATATGTTCTGTGAAAAGCATTTTCATTTAGATAAAGAGTTTCTAGTATTTATTGTGCAGCTCTTTATATCTACAGGCACTATTTGATAATAATGCTTTCTTATGACCAATACTATAAAACATACTACTGTGCAACATACACATACATTTTACATATATGATAAAAGTCTCATTTCCTGTATATTTCATGCTGAAATTTTATCTTTTTTTCTTTCTGATATCGTTTCTGACCAAACTTATACACCATACTTTTCTTTCTGACATCACTTTTGACTCGACTTATACACCATACTTTTCTTTCTGACATCACTTTTGACCCGACTTATACACCATACTTTTCTTTCTGACATCACTTTTGACCCAACTTATACACCATACTTTTTGCACAACAATTTTTAACTAGTTGTTTGTTGATTCAGGTGCAAAACCACAGTAAACATTTTGACCATAAAGATAACAAACAGCTACAATTAATGTCTTAGGTCTACAAAAAAGCAAAACAAACAACTTGATTCTTATCTTCCCCACATGTATGCAACACTATCAATATATGCATCCACATCACCAAACAGACACTGGCTTTCAGATCTATTTCAAAATAAACATCATAGACAAATATCTAAACATGCAAACTGTATATCTCTTTGAGCACTTAAAAGTAATTAATGCTTGCCTATGTTACCAGTATATAGACAGGCCAGCCTATACATCTAAATGTCTCATCAAGACTCGTGTCTCATAATTATCATACAATACTCTGAAATCCCTTAAACTAGCAAATGGACTGTTCCAAATTCAAAGCTGGACAAGTCTATTTACAAAATTTAGCAAATTAAAGAGTTACATTTAAACAGTAATCAAATAGTGCTTTGAAGGGTTTGCTTGCTAGAATATCTGTAACTTTCTTGAGAAGTAACAAAAAATTGTTCTTTCAGATAGCAATTTATGATTAAAACAGGCACCTGGTTTGTATACATGTACATTTAGGGCAAAAAGTTTGGAGTCAACAACAACATTGACCACTCATCCATGGTTGCCCCATAGATTTTTGTTTAAAGGAAAATTGCACCACTCAAGAATAACCATGTATTCAAACAGATTCTTCAGTACTTTCTATATTTGGTAATTTCTTGGAATCTATCAAACTTATGTTGCTTTCCTGTATTATCTGAAGGGCTATTATATGTAACTTATCAATAATATTGCTTCCATATGATAATAATTGTAACCCATTTATTCCACTACCAAAGGGGTCCCAACACCATTTCCCGTAGAATGAATCATCATGCATGGGTAGATGGGTAAAAGTTTAAAACATTTTTTTAAAAAAAACCCTGAAAACTCTGAAGTAATTATTATTTTCATCAATTTTCTGTAGAGAAAGAGAGAATTTAAGAGTACTAATCTTATATCCTGAAATTCTGGAAAATATCTAAAAACTTCTGACCCAGGTGAGTGCTGGGGAAACAAGAGCTGTCAGAAGGACAGCGCGCTCGACTTTTTTAGTGCTTGCCTATAAAACAAAACTTTGACAGTTAAGGGCACACAAGACTTTAACTAGGAATTTCTAAGTACAAATCAAGAAACATTTTCACAGAGTTATCTTCTCTTGCTTACAGATAGGTCTCATGATGGCACATAAGAACTCCAACTTCCAAAGTAATATCTCAAATGGTTAAGTCAACAAGTGGACAAGAATGAAAATCTTAACTGAGTTTCTAAGTCAAAAAGGGCCATAATTCAAATAAAATCCTTAACAGAATTACCTTCTCCTGCCCATGTTTTGGCGACCATGATGGTAAACAAGTATTCCAACTTTCAAATTAATATCTCAAACAGTTCAGTCAAAAAGTGGACTGGTACTAAAAACTTAACCAAGATTCTAAGTCGATAAAAGGCCTTAATTTTTAAAACAAATCCTTGACAGAGTTACCTTCTCTTGCGTACAGATGGGGGTAATGATGTGAAATAGCATTAAAAGTTTTCAAAGCAATATCTCAAAGGGTTAAGGCAATAAGTGGATTTTACCCATATTCAATGTATTTTCTAAGTCAAAAAGGGGCATAATTCTGTCAAAAACCTTGACAGAGTTATGTCCTCTTGTCTGTTGATGAAGGTCGTGATGGTAAACAAGTATGGTCAGTTTCAAAGCAATACCTCCAATGGTTTTGAAATAAAGTGAGGTGGTACAAAAAACTTAACCAGCTCAATACACTTTCTAAGTCAAAAAAGGGCCATAATTCTGTCAAAAACCTTGACAGAGTTATGTACTCTTGTCTGTAGATGGAGGTTATGATGGTGAACAAGTATGGTAAGTTTCAAAGCCATACTTGTAATACTTCTGAAATAAAGTGGGGTGGTACGAAAAACTTAACCAAGGTGTGACGCCAACGCCGACGCCAACACCGACGCCGACGCCGACGCCGGGGCGAGTAGGATAGCTCCCCTTTTCATAGAAAAGTCGAGCTAAAAAATCACTAGATGTATTGACTATCTTAACAATGTAGGATTCAAGCATTACTGGCATTTATTACCGACCATCGGATAATCAGACACAATTAAAGTCAGTATTTATATAAGGAACATTGTTAGCCGGGGCCTGATCATGTTTTTCTTACCTTGTATCAGTTAGTTCAAAGGAGTTTTCTTTCATTTCTTTCGTTCCCCGTTAGACAATTATAAACTAACAGAACCTCCAGCGTAAATATAAAATCTATCCTTTCTGTATAACATGTTTTCTTGTCTGTCGGAATTCTTTTAAACAACATTTAATTGCTTAGAACTTCCCATTACATGTTTAAACCAATTACTTGCATGAGATTTCCTCGCATTTCTATTCTTTGCCTTCGTTATAGTGCATTTTCTCCATTTATCTTGATACAAAATAAAACAAGTTTTTGTTGGATTTTTTTTGTATGGGTAATTATATTTTAAAACAAAATTTATCAAAATTGTCCCCCTCAGGGGCAAATAATTTAGTTAACTTTTATTTAAAATTTTTAAGAATAACCCTTTTCGGAAATTTAAAGGGGATAATATAAAAATACATAAAATTTTTTAACCCCTTGGGGGCTTGAAAAATTTAAAATGCTTTGAAAGCTCTAAAACATTAAAAGGACATGTAAATAACCATGGGTTTTCTTTCCCGGAAAAAGTCCTTTTTTTTTAAATCTCTTTTTTTTAAAGCAACACTTTAAAAAAGCCCCACGGGAAAAAGATTTTTTTTAAAATTTAAAAAATATATTTAGATTGATATTTAAACTTTAATAATAAAAAATTTTCCCCGGGTCTTTCAAATAGAAGGTCCCGGAAAAACGCTTTTGTAAACCCCTTTTTGCTTTTATTTTAAAATTCTTGGATAACTGGTTTTAAGTTTTCTGTACGCAAATAATATAAGTGTTCAAGAAAAGGGCGAATAAATTAAATACAAGAGCAAAAAATGAAAATTTTTAACGACATGATGTTATTTAAAAAATCTTTAAACTTGTGAAAAAAGGATAAATATTTCAGAAAATAATGTTTTTTTAAAACTATATTTTGTTGAAAAAAACATAGATTGCTTTTTTCAACAATTATTTGCCCGATAAACGGCGCCATTTTGAAAATCGCGGAAAATTAAACATTCAATATTTAGCAAATAAATTCGTGAAATTTTATGATATTTTCTACATGATAAGATTGAATAAACATCTTTTTCTCTTTAAATTCAATTTCTATTTTGTCATTGAACAATGAATAAATTTTAAAAAAGCTCATGAAACTCGGACGCCATTTTCAAGTATGAGCGGTAGATTTTTACCGATTGACACCGGGTGAATGAAAAATTCTTAATTTCATTGCAAATCTATAAGTTACTTTTTCATAAAAACTGGGAAAAAAATGTAGTCAAAAGTTAGTTTTAAGTAATTTTTTTTATTAAATTTAAAAAAACAATTTTTTCTTATAATTTGTTTTTAAAGGTTTATGTGCCCAAGCCAGTCACGGTCGGTAGATAAACCGATACCCTACTCAACCGAACCCGCTTTTTTTCGTAAAATTGGGGGCCGTCTCCAACCATTCTATTTGAAAGACCCCCGGGTTTCCGGACTGGCTTACTATTTTTTATTTCATGAAATTAAAAGAGATAAAATTTTTGCTCTTGGCCTCACAATCAAAATTTCTCCATTATTTTTTAAAAAGGCTCAAAATCCTTAAAAAAATATGTTTATATATATTTATTTAACCCCCCAAATTTTAATGTTTACACAACTATTTTTTGAGTGTTTTGTCAATAAGCGTTTTTGCTCCCTTTTGAGTTATTGCTTACAAACCCGGCTTTAAAATATTAAAATTAAATTGAAACCCCAAAATAATTATATTTTTAATTTTAAAACCCGAAATTTCCCCTTTAAATAGATTGCCTGGGCTCTTTTTTTAAAAAAAATACATGTATATTTCCCAAACCCCCAAACTGGCAATAAAATTAAAATGTAATTTTGACAGTGGGTAAACCCGCACAATCTGTTTTAAACAGCAGCAGTTTGACAGGCCAACTGTGCCACACATTCTCTTTAAATACTTCCAAAATTTTTCCCTGTCTTGGAAAAGTACCCCAGCAGTACGTAAATTGGGTTTTTCATCATTCTTTTTATTTGTATGGAGTTAAAACCCAAATTTGGAACCACAAAAAAAACATAAATTTAAAGAGGTTTTAAATTGGCTTTTTTTTTTTCATTTTTTAGGGAATTTAGGGCAGACCCA